GTACCGTGTATATATATAGTGAAATGAAACTCGCCTCCATCCACAAAATTTCGGCGATTTGTTTGCGGATCCAGTACGGACCTCAAAGGCTCCAATCTTTGCAAAAATGCAGTTTGTCAAAGCACTGAAAGTTGTGGAATGAAGCCCCTAAAGCAGGGGGAAATGGAATGGATCTGTGGGGTACCATCAGCAACTTCCACCAGCTACTCAGAGGGTACAAGAGTGTTTTGTTATAAGAAGGTTGATCAGGTTGATCACTTGCCCAAAGTTCGAGACGTGGCCCCGCGCCGATATTCTTCATTCCGACGGATTTGCATAGCATTTGCACCTGTACGGGCAAAAACTAAGCTTGAAACGGAGTGCACAAACTCCGGCATGACACTGCCACAAATCTACAAATCGGCAGCCAGCTGAGAACTGAATGCACAAACATTCAGGTTAGCTTTGGCGCGCAGTGATTGTAGACGTCGCAAGTGGTGACACAACAGGTATTTGGAGACGAGATCAAGTGTCTCCCTACTCGCTTTGTTGACATCTGAATGACTCCTAGATCATGTTACATGGCAAAACATCCCTGTCGCATCATCAAACAACACATCTTTCTCCTCATCTTTTGTTATATTCGCCAAAACGTACTACTAGGAAGAAACTCTAGCTGGTGGCCATGTTGCTAAGGAATCTAGCAAACATGTTGAATGGTTGCACCCCTTGCGAAGCTGCAACCCAAGTTAAACTCCAGCACCACGCGCCCAGGACTGGCCTCCTGATCGCCTCAGGCAAGGGCTTTGCATGATCACAACCCTCACCTTCAGTATCATTGCATAGCATCGACCTTTCAGTTTCAGTCAAGTCTTCAGGAACCTGGTTATGTTCTTTCCCATTTATTTATGTTAGGAGCAAGGACGCTTCTAGGGGCTCCTGGCCGTACTACTAGGAACAAGGACGCTACTAATTGGTCCGTTCCTGCAACTTTGTTCTCTCCTATATAGTTGTTGAAAGTGTCGATAAACCCTCCCCTTCCCTTAGGGCAACCAGCTTAGGTCGCTCTCCACGCGTGTCGTCTGCACAGGTGGCATGCCACCTGTCAAGGGAACCGCCACACTCCTGAGACCACTGCCAACAGATTAGTCCAGGCAATACTCTATCCGACTCTTTTCAATGGTCATCAAGAACTTGGCTCTCCGCGGATCACGTGTACAATCACCCAAGAAATGGTGTTTAAAAAATCCAGGCATGCTCTCCATCTAACTACGACGCTAACTCTTGATGTATGAGTTGATGGCCCCCACTGCGCTGATGCACCATACGTTTCAACCCAAAGCCCGGCTCCACCCTTCCACCATCCTTGCCTGTAGGCACAAACTCAACGGGCACCAGAACCGAAACTGGCACGTAACACACACCTGCTACAAAATGCTTGCTCAGCAGCATGGTATCAGCAAAAGTGTTGGTATACTTATCATATATAATATAAAATAGATCACGTGTAATATATATATAACTCTTACACCGTAGATAAAAGTCAAGACCTTGGACTCATATGGACTCATGACAACTATATAATCCCTGCGTCTCTTTTTCATAGCAGGGAAACCGCAACAAACAAAGCACAAGTCTGGCTCCAAACAGGTCCAGACTGCGGTCAAGTCAGTGTACCTTGATCCACAACCATCATCATCATCTGGTCTCCTGGATCGGATTCCCAATCGTCTTGGAGCTTACGTGAAACGAGGAAAGAGCTTACGGAGCTTGCTCTCCCGTGGTCTACCGCGCTGGAAGACTCGTTGATTGGGGTCACACGGTCACACTAAAATGGACTTGAGGGTTGCCAGTTCAAATGGTAGTGCCTTCTTTTCTTTGTTTCTAATAGCAACGGCCTCCAACCTACTAGCGATGGCCTCCACCTAATAGCGATGGCCTCCTTGCAAAGACTTTCTCCAACCTCCCAAACCACATCACGTGATCCTCCGACACCTGCATACTAGCCAATCTACAAGAACCATGGCCAAGGGCCAAGGGGAGAGAATCACCCTCCAAATTACAATGTTTTGTCAAAAAAAAATTGGAGGCATATTAAAATTCCTATATTCAAGAAAACGATCCACAACAGACCTACGCGACTTGCAACCCACTTTCACGCTATCAATCCGACGGTGACCTCAAGCACCTTGTATTTTCCTTCTTGTCACAGTTTCTTTCACACCTGCAAAAAGCAGGTCGCTGCCATTGTGCAAACTCTCTGGCTATGTGTTTTAAAGGTATAAATATGCTCAAACTCCCAACAGCACCATTTGCTGTTCATTATGTATTCAAGCACTGTTGAAGCACCTTATTGCATGGTGTTTCAATGCAAGATCCCATGGATTTCACAAAGCGAGCTGCATGGCGAACAACTTCCACAATCGTGTCAGGTTCTTCTGCAGATCCCAGAAGGGTGCAGGACAATTGTTGTATTTCGTTGTGATTGTATAGTATTTGTTGCTGTTGGAAAATCTTCACTGGATGATCACAACCGATTGAATCCCCTGCACGGGAAAGAAACTGCTGTGCATGGTGCTTGTTCGCTGCCCTCAATATGTGCGTGTTGGAGGATTTGCATTGCAGGGGTCCATCTTTCGACACTCTCAAAGGCACAGTGCCCAAACCGAACATCGAGCCGGAGTCGGAGTCTGGTCCCGGTCATCATAAATTATGTTCAATTGAAAGCGTTGCTGTGTTTAAGAGACAGCTTCTAGCCGAAGTATGAAGTCCTGCCCTCTCCGGACTCTGGCCTCCTTCTCTAGGCGGCTAACCAAACAAAGCTCGAGCCACAGTTGGCTTTGACAGGAATGTCATCAAATGAGTACATCATAACTTAACCTTTTCAGATCAGCTTCACTGGGGGATTGTTGTGAACAACCATATTTAGCATTAGGGGTCGTGGGGTAGTAAAGACATGTAAAGAACGTAAACGATAGGGTCTTGCAATGTCTAACGAAATCCTAGAATAGTCCACTTGGGCTTCACACATAAAGATACACAAGGCACTGGCCCACCTCCGAGATGGGCCACGCTGAGCCTTCTTGTCTACCTGCAGCAAGGATGGAAGACCTTCCAGCGCCATTGCCCTTTGTATTTACAAGCATTGCACCAACACATTAAGCGCAGCTGTAGTGCTGCTTGGTAAACAGTTGACTTACATGACTAAGCTCAGCTCATGCCATACTGAAGCGGAGCTCACACTGGGTTACATGGTCGGAGACTTCATAACGCAACGGCCGCACCACTTTAATCAACACACCAGCGCACAGTTTCTGAACTGGAACGTGCAAATCCTACAAAGTTCACCAAGTTCTCCAAAGGCAGAGCTTGATGCTTAGGATTTCTGGCTCTTCTTGCAGCAAAACTCCATCTCTAACACTGGAGATGCAAGCATATTGAATGTTATTGGTGCTTGCAAAGGAAAAGCGACATTTGGTTGAAATATATTGGATCGGATGCAAAAGTTTGCACAGAATGTCCTCCTTCATCCCCGTGTACCACTGAAGTGATGTCCCCAAATCTCGAGCAGTGCCAAATGTTTAAGGTGGCCCATGCAAGTAAAGATGGAGGTCCTTGAGAAATGTCCCTGACACCATGTCGCAACATTCTAAAACACAAGAACGAGCGCTGCCACTCGTGAAGATCTTCGCTTCACATCTAATTCAAAAGCAAGTTCGGGTTTGGTCTCTCCAAACCATCGTCGTAAATCTCCATTATGCTTGTTTGGTCCGGGGGGGTGCGCAAAATTGACACGTCCACCTCTACTCAATCTGTGAAGATGCCCTGCGAGCACCGAGCTCTTTTTCAGCAACTTGCAGAATCGATGCAACATTTGGCAACATTTGACCTCTGAGCTCGGCCCTCCGCCAATTCTGCACTGGCCAGCGGCATCTCAAAGGACTCTCAGTCTTCAGTGTTGGCGACCCATGCTGTCTTTCATGGGCCGCCTCAAACTCACATCCTTGCTCGAAGGAAGGACTTGGCAAACGACTTGGCGGCCCATGTCAGCGGTTCACCCAAACTGTTGGGGAAAAAAGGAACACTTCCTCGACAAAGGCAAGCCGAATGATCAGGCAAAAACGTGTTGTGCCTATTATCTGTGTCGCGTTTGCTTCAGATGATCAGCCAGCAAAGGTTACTAGTAACAAGAAGCTACTAGTAACAGGGTGCATCGCTACTAGTAGCTTCTTGCTACTAGTAACAAGGTGCCTTACTAGTAGTAACAAGCTACTAGTAGTACGGCACCTTGCTATTACTAGTAGCGATGCACTTGTTACTGCCCTATGTGACTGCACATACTGCACTGAATTATCACAAAAATGATGGAAGGATCCATATTGAGCAGGGGTTGCATCAAACACAAACCTTGAGCGCCCAGAGTGGTTCAAGGCATGCCCTGTTTGAAAGCCGCTTTTGTGAATGTTCCGAAACATGTGTGGGGTCAGCTGGTTCCAAGAGCACGGTTACGGTTGAACTGATACGACCTCCACCTCTGGAAAATAACATGGATTCGATTGACTGCAACAAAACACCCACCCTTCACCTTTCCTCTGCCCGGATCAACTCTTGTGTCAAATCCCAGATAATGGGGTGTAACTTGATGAAAACTAGTTTAAATGGAGCTCATTCCAATTTTAACAGCATAACAAATCCCAGTAGAAGAGTATGTCCACGATCGCAGCCGGGCCCCCAGACTGCTGGCGTACCAGTGTTTGGCACAGACATTGCACACCTGGAGGAAGTCTTGCACGATGCGTGGCAATGTGAGGCACACAGTTTCATCTTTTACTTTGAAGCATTCACGATGGCTCACCCAATGCACAAGTCTGCTAGTGTTTGACAGCAGCCGTTGATTGAAAAAGCGCCAGGAAAAGTCCTGACAGCGTGTTCATGCTTTTCTGGTACGAGTAGCAATTTGGACACTCGCATCAACCCTGATCACGCTCTGCAGCCAAAATGCCGCACACCAGCAAGAAAGGTTACCACAAATCTCCTCAGTGGCAAGAAGGTGACCAGAAGGTGGGGTGCCAGCCAATAGGGCTTGAAGAATGAAAAACCTCAGAACTCTACAAATGACTCTTCCAACGCTGTCACACCGCCATTGGGATTTGGGATGAGACTGATGAAACACAGTAAGTGAGGAAGTCAAGGATTTGGCCTTTTTTCTCGGTCGGTGGGTTATGCACTTCAGTGGGTAACGTCTAAAAATTTTGCTACACCTAACGTTTCTGCGTACGAAGACCCCTGCATGCAGAAGCACAAAATGCCACAGCCCGAGTGTTTTCCGTGTTGATCAAAACTGCAAGCCAGCAAGATGTTGGCTTACTTGAGTGACAGTCCCATGGACATGGTTTCTGGTTTCCTCACATCGAACCCTGAAACCGTGGGACCAATGGCATCCTCCTCACTCAAACCAAAACCTTTTTCCACCCACTTTGGTCAAGGCACCATCGCTTTCATCGTCCGCCAGATCCGCCCACCGGCGGCGGGCCACCACCTAGGCGGTCCATCAAGGTGGGTTCAACAGCGCACCCAAACGACGAGCAAACCTCTGGAAGCCACTGGGAATGGTTAAATGATGAATTGTAGAAAGGGTTTCGGTTGACATTATGAAGGGTCTATCTAACTACGTCTAGCAAACATGTCATGTAGACCCCAAGAAAAGGAGGTTAGCCCGTTGACCCCATCATGGAGGGAGATCACGACGCTTTCCCAGAGCCAAATTCCTTACGCCGAAGGCACCACAGCTGGCAATGCCACCGGCTCAGGCGGCCCGCCTGGGGCCTGAAGAGCGAAACTCGCCTCGCCGAACTCATCAGACAGAGTTTTAGCCTCCAAACATATCACTCACAAACTGTCAACTGGCCAGATGTAATTGATCACAGGAGCAAAAGCCGAAGGCAAGAAGGACCTTACCTTTCCAGCCTCAAGAAAACAACGGTTTATCTGTTGGCAAAGCATCTTTGACCTCAGGCGCGTTCCGCCTCTGCGGACTCTTCACCAGCGCTCTCTGTCGCACTGGTAGATACATCGCTTGCCTGGTGCCGCTGCAAGGCAATCAAACAATCCCTGATGGAATTACCGGTAGGTCTTGGGAACGCGATTTTATAGGTATAGATGGCCTGCCCCAACATCCAGCAAGCAATCTCTCCACTATAAAATGAAGACTCGACATGAATCAGTAAATCTCTATAAAATCAAGTCTCAACATCTAGGGCGCCCGGAAGACGTAAAATATGATCTAGGTTTGAAGTAGTTTTACCATGTTTTACCTTTATTTTGCCCAGGTCCTATAAAATCAAATGTCAAAACATCCAGACCTCTATCTATGTGCGGCCCACATGATTCTGGCCACAAGCTTCCAGGTCGACACATCATTTTATAGCAAGCCCTCCCCTATAAAATGACATGGGGTGTTGGTACTCGAGTACGTCCACTTTAAAGGCTTTATTCCATGGAGGATATCAAACACGGGTATCAAAACAGTTCCGAAAATAGCACTCTGCTTCCATCGCCCGCCGTCAGGTTTCACTTTGTGGACAACCGCCGGCAGCGAATGGCGGTCAGAACGCAAGGCTTTTCGCCGGACCAAAAGCGTAAAACGAAGTTGGGTCAAGATCTATCAAATGGCCGCGGGCGGAAACAGGCTCAAGACATGCATGTCTTCATGAAGGCAATGACATCCTCCGCAGACTTTCGCTCCAGAACCTGTGACATCTGGAAGCGTGTGCAAAAATCAATGCAGTGGATGATGTAGTACTTGGTACCGTCAACGTCAAAGGCCTCGAGGATGTCCATGTGCACTTGGTCACTCACATCACCTGGCTGTGGAAGTGATGCAGGCCTCTGAGGTTTCTGCGGTGCTCTTTCCTTGCAAATAGAGCACTGATGCTCTTTGGCTGCACGGATCACCATTGCCGGGGCTCCAGCGATGGTCAAAGCTCTTGCCAGCCGCTTGTTGCTTCTGTGGCCAGTGTTGGCATGAAATCTCGCCGCTTTGATTGCAGCCGGGATCTTCTCAGGATTTCCACTGGCCTCCTTTGTCTCAAGATCAGAGTCGCTGTCCAGGGTAGGCGGTGCAAAATGCTCGCCATCCAATTCATCTTCCATTCCATTTCCAACAGCCAAAACTTCAGAGGAGTTCTGGGCAGTGAACTTCTTGGCATCAAGGTCGAACTGGTCCTCCATCCCACGAACAAGCAAGCGAGCCATGGCCGCAGGGTAGCGTCGGCTCTCACGGTCACTTTGGAGCCACCAATCACTGGGTCATGGATGTGGGAGCGCGTGCAGCCAGAACATCGCCAGAATCAGGCACAGTTTGCCGAGATGATGCAGCAAGTCGTTGGCGCGCTCGATCTGCTGTCCAAGCAGGCAGGGCAGAGCAATCCACTCCAGACCGAAGGAGAACTGCCCGAGCACGCACTTCTCACTGTCCGAGGCCACCCCCATGCAGATCGACAGCATCCTCAACGGAGAGACAACTCGCCCCATGAGCGAGTACACGGAGGCCGAGCTTCGCCAACTGGCAGGCGAGTCGATGGAGAGTGTCTACCAGGAGCGGCTGGAGGCCCAATCGAACCTCTTCAAGACAACAGAGTCATTTGAAGCTGAAGAGATCTTTGTCCCACCAGAGTCCTTCGGAGAGAACTGCACCAAAGAGCATGAAGGACCCTTCATGACGGAGATCTTCATGACAACGCAACGTGTCATGAAGGAGGCAGCCAAAAGAGGCTATCGTGCCGGAGTTCCGATGAGTCTTGAGACTGGATGGAACTTCCTGCAGGAGGAGGACCGCCGAGCTTGCATGGTTTGGGTGAAGAAGGAGAGCCCTTTTTCTTGATGATTGCCTTCCCCTGTGGGCCTTTCAGTCCTTTACAGCGATTGAACCAGAGCAGAATGTCACCAGAAGTCCTTGAGCGAGGTCGCATTCTGATGTCCTTTGTCTTGGAGCTCGCTGAAGAACAACTCCGAGGAGGCCGGCACTATGCCCTTGAGAACCCGGCGCCTAGTGGTGCATGGCATGAGCCTTTGATGGAAGAGTTCATCGATCGCCATGATCCTTACCTGGTTGACTTTGATCAGTGCCGGGTGGGACTTCGTTCATTGCAGGGCAATTTCCACAAGAAGCCGACCCGTCTTGCTTCGTCGAGCTCTACAGTGACTTCATTGATGGATGGACGTCGGTGCATCTTGGCCACCTGCGGAGACGCTGAGTACGTCATGACAGGAGGTGCTTTGGCGACTGCTGGACTGCTCGAAGGAACCGGCTTGGCATAGTCCTGACTGGAACTCGAGGCCTTGTTGTGGTTCTTGGAGGCCGGCTGGGACTTCAAGAGCTCCACCGTGGGCTTCACCTTCTCCTTGATCTGGGCCACGGTCATGTTGGCCTCAATTGGCACATTGAGCAGCGCCGCCAAGCGCAATAGATCTCCTCGAAGAGTCGGCAGTCCACCGCGAGGTCCAATCAACTGACGAGCTTCCTCCTCGCGGACGCCATCCTTCTCGGCCTGCATAGCTTTCGCCTTGGCCTCCTTCAGAGCTTCGTGCTTGACTTGTGATGCCAAGCCCTTCGATGAACGAGCCGCCAACATTCCCATCAAAATGGGGTCTTCCACGAAGGCGACCTGCAAGCCCATCTGATTGCGAAGCCACATGCACTCCTGCATAGCGCCCATGTTGAAGTGTCCCAACGTCGTGGCTTTCTGGAAGGTGCCATGAGGCATGAGGTGATGCCTTTCCATCTCTTGCGCTTGAAGCTTCCAGCGGGCCAACGAATTGATAGCCGGGTACGGCAGTGGGACATAGCGAAGATGAGCCATAACAACAGCCCATGCAAATGCCAGCTTAGCCGAGCCACCACGTTGCACGAGGCGCCTACCTTTGAAGGTGGGAACGGCTCGCTTTTGCGGAAGAAGGTTCCGGCCAACAAGTCCATCAGCTGCAAGGCACTCGTTTGCCAAAGAGCTCGGAGTCGGGGTCGTCGTAGAGGATGAAGTCGTCACGTGAGGTCCAGCTTGAACCGACATGCTATGAGCGGCTTCATACTTCTCAAAATGATCTCACGCACAAACAAACCAGCTTGCAGGCTACGCTCCGACAACAAATATGCTCATGAACGAGGGCTTCACGCAAAGGGTCTGAGGCCTTCAATCGTCTAGTCAACCACTCTCTCAAGGTGACTTGAAGCTCGATGATGCCATCGGTGCACACACGGCACCATTTCTGGGTGCCCACACTTGGCCACTGCCGCGGGATGAGGCGGAGTGGGAAATGACCTGCCGCAAGCTGCTTCAAGGGAATTGCTGAAGTGTTGAGGAAATCAAATTTGATCAATCTTCGGGAAAAACTCATCGTGACCCCAACCCACTCGAGGTAGTCCCGACCAAGGAGTAGACCAAGGGACGCCAGAGGGTGTCTCCAATGACCATGGGCAGCCTCCATCGTTCAGCGCTGACCTGCGTGCCACCATCACCAAATCTGAAGACCTCGTTTTCGGAGGCGCTCTTCACCAGGGGCCAAATCTCCTGAGGGGCAGCTCGAAGGGCTTCCATGTAGGTGATCAACCGTTGGGGACCAGTCACGGTCCGGTTGCACAACTAGACGCTTGTTGTGGGAGAGGGTACCAACCGCATGAACTTCTCGAGGTGGTTGTGACTGGTTGGAGTTCAACACTTCACCAAGCGAGCGGTTCCGTCGGACACATGTCACCGCAAAGGCTTCATGAGGAACATCTTCAGGGGGCAACTCATCAACAACATGCTCCGTGTTGAGGGTCTCCACAACCTTCACGGCCTTCGGCTTCTTCGGAGGCGGACCTTTTCTGCCAAGGCCGGCTCCAGGCTTGGTGCATTCGGCATCACCAGCCCAATGGCCAGGAAGGCCACAGTCGAAGCATGCTTCCCTGAAGCTTTCTTCGCTCCAACTTTGGAGTTGGGATCTGTCTTCACTTCAGCCAGTTTCTGTCTGGCTTCACGCATCGTCAACAATGCTTCTGCCGCCGACTCCACCGTCTCCTCAACATCTTGCACCAGGGCGGCTTCAACACCTTCTTCAACAGCCTCTTCAAGCTCTGTGGCCAAGATCTCGGCGGCTTGAAGCGCTTCCTCCAGGTTGGGAGACTCACCATGCTCCTCCACCTCAGGTTCATCAGGAACCAACTCTTCTTCTTCATGAGTGTCAGCGACGAAGGCCTGTCGGCGCTGACTCGGAGGGCGCTTCTGAAAAGGCCTGCTGAAGGCATAGGTCGAGCTTGAGCGGCCTGATGCAAATGAAGACACTGAAGGCGCCGACGATGAGGGAGCTCGAGACGAAGGCGCTCGTTGCTGAGCTAAGAACCTTTGCATCAAGGGCGGTCCACGAGGTTGGTGATCTCCTCCATGAAAGGTCTTCTTCGCCAATGGGTCTGCGGAGTGCAGATCTCTGAAAAGGCGAAGCACTTCAACCTCTGTCTCCTCATAGGATTCCTTGCCCTGCAATGCAGTCTCGAGCAACTGCTGCCTCAAAGCATCCAAACCAAGCTTTTGCTTGAGAAATCATCTAAGCTCTGCAGTGGGAAATGTCACACCTTCCATGCGCAGTTCAGCAACAGCCGAACGAAAGCGGGTGCAAAACTCTGAAATCCTTTCTCCTGGTTTCCGCTTCAACTCCAAGTAGAAGGAGTTTCTAAGGTCACCACGCTTGTCGAGCTGTGTCTTGCCGTTGATGGTCTCCAAGGCTCTGAGCAGCTTGTTGATGCCAGCAAGACTGTCCTTGGGCGTCAGCTCGATGTCATCGCCCGTCTCTGGATCCTTAGCCATGATGGCTGGCTGGAATGCCAACTCAGCTCCACGCTGCCTCACGATTCCTGACTGCTTAGTAAGCAGCCATCTTGCAGCCAGGTTGTACTTCTTGGTGCTCTGGACGTCGAGGGCCTCAAGCCACCAGGTCATCTCTTTTCTGAATGACCTCCATGTCTTGGGATCACCATCCCAAAACAGGAACTCTGCTCCACGCTCCGGCATTCTTGTCATCCTCCGCCATGGCCGAGTGGCCACCAATCCTCAGGATGAAGTAGTTCAGGCCAAGAGGTCGAAGGGCCTATTGAACTCAAGGGAGCTTATTCTCTCTGTCCTTAATCGAGGCAGCCGAACCCGCAGGGATCACCCTCGAAGAGGTCAGGAAAGAAGGGCTCTTCGCGCACAAAGGGACACCAAGGCGCAACCAGCAAAGGACGTCAGGCACGGCGGCCAGCAACGTCAGCCAAGCAGCGGAAGGCGCAGAGGTAGCACAGGGCCTTGGCCAAAGGGCCGGACCAGAGAGGCTCCGGTGCCACTGTGGACAACCGCCGGCAGCGAATGGCGGTCAGAACGCAAGGCTTTTCGCCGGACCAAAAGCGTAAAACGAAGTTGGGTCAAGATCTATCAAATGGCCGCGGTGCGGAAACAGGCTCAAGACATGCACCACCGAGACGCTGATTTCACACACTTCAAGGGCCTTTGTGTTTTTTGAGAGCAACCCATCTTGACGGTTGATTAATTGGACATGATCTACAGTGTGTGTGTGTGTATGTCTATATAATATATATTACAAAGAGCTACACTAAGGTCATCGATGGTCTCACCTTTCCCACGAAAGGACTCCAGCCCATGGGCCTCAGCAACGTTGTCTGTTTCACTCAATGTTAGCTCCTGGCAGTGGCGTGTTCCGAGCGCGTTGGTGGGGATGCAAGTTAAGTTGTTGATTAGGGGATGTGGCATAGCTCCTTTCACATCCCAGAAAAGGGTCGATTGATTCTTCAAAGCACAGGTGTCTTTACTTAGTCATTGGGTTAGGGTAAAGATGTCAATGAATGTGAACGAAATCTTGGAGATGTGGTTGCAAGTTGCAACTGTGAGCCCTTCACTAGTCCCAGCCTAAAAAGAGTGCCGGCAAACCTTGAGCTGTGGCTCCACCAAAGTCAGATGGCCACTGTAACTAGCTTTGTGAAAAACACCATGACAGCGAGCCCTTACTTCAGGCTGATCAAAGCACCCCCCACGCATCCTCCAGCTGGCTCACATACCAACGGATGTTCTGCTCAATGTTTTGAAGGATTCCCTCCACGCCAACCTTGGCATGGTGTCAAAGCTTTGCGCCGAAACTCCCAGAAAGCGAGATGCATCCTCAATGTGTCACGCGTCAAGAGTAAAGAATGAGTAAACGAATGTCGGACAAGAGATGCCATCCCTAGTACACAACAAAGCTTGATAGTTGGGAAGAAAGGCTCTCATCAAAACATCAGAAAAACGAAGGCCCTGGATCCAACAGAGACCACCAAATGGAACCGCCGTGGCCCCCGCCGGGCCCAGTGGCTGCCGCCTGGGCGCCATCGTTGCGTGAAGGGTCAGGCCGAAAAATGGCCCCGGCCGAAAAGAACTGAGGCAGGTGAAACCCTTCGAGGAGCATGTAGACATTCAGGAGAGAGCAAACGGTTAAAAGGGTTGTGGTTGGCGTTCAAATGTTGTTGTAATTCTAGGCCAGGGGTTCACCCACTTCAGGAAAATTAACGTTGCTCGATCCGCAGAACTTCAGGTTTATAAACCGGCTTAGCTTCATTTGATCAATGGGTCTGCGACTTCCGTGCTGGGGATTCCCTCACCGACTTCCATGGGGATGAACTGTCCAACGAAAGGTGCAGTACTTTTCAACCAATGTCAGAGTGTGTGAGTGTGGGTTTCCTGGCGTTTTCTTGGTCCAAAAATCCGTGGGGATGGCCCTTTTCAAACATTTCAAGCCAAAGACGAAAATCCATGAAAATGCATTGGTCTTTTTCGGATCGGCATGTTCATACATCCTTTCTTTGGAAAAAATGACTTCGATTTCACATGCGTGTTGCCCTGACAGCAGGCCACAAAAGTGGGGCAGAACTTCATACAAGTGCTGATCCAACCTACACGTGCTGATCCTCTACAGATGTTCACGGTCAAGAAATATACCCAGAAGCTCGAAGCTGAGGCTTTGTTCACAGGAATCTTCTTTTTCGGCCGGGAGTTATCGGCCTCAACTGGAAGACCTTTGCAGCATCATGCAATTGATCTTGGTGATTAGAACCTCTGTAGAGGGCTGTTCTTGTTTTAGGTTAGTAGTTGGAAGTGCAGAAAGCGCTGGCGGGGCAAGCTTGAGACACACAAGCGTGCTTTTCCCAGCTTCCTGCAATTGGGAATGGTGGGCTGGCGCGCTGGCCCGTAGGCTGAGGTGGCGGCCATCTGGTCAAAAGTGCGCGTTGATGCCACTGGGACCTGGGCCAGGCCGGAAGGCTCTCTCTCTCTCTCCCTCCCTCTCTCTCTCTCTCTCTCTCTTTCTCTGTGGTCGGAGGTCGATGAGGTCTGCGGTTCGCTGATTCGGTGAAGCCTGAGCCAGCAGCAAGATATCAAGCACCAGGTGCTTCTGAGTACCTCAGCTGCGCCACATGTGGTCCGGGCAACCCAACTGGAGTTGGTTCAACGTGATAAGTAATAGGTTCAAAAAGTTCAGAACGGTGTTCTTCATTCACATTCAAAAGTCGGCCAGTGCTATCAAGGTGCTTGCGCTCCTCATGACACGCTGGAAGAGTTGAACCTTGCGCAAAGCTGCGCTGTCCTGGCAGGTGGGAGGACAAGTCATGCTGACCAAGTGGGATATATCTATCAGCATGAATACAGCACATTTCAGATGCAGGGAACCAGACTCCGAAAGACGCCCCGGCAAGTCTCATCAGCTCTCGTCGTGCTGCCTGCATCTGTAGAAATTGTTGAAAGTATCCCTGAAGTCTCGCATTCACAAATGGGACCTCGCCGTCCTGGGACATCGTGCAGCGGCAGGACTTACAGCTGATCCATCCTTGTCAGTCCACCCCATATGAGTATGTTCACTAGGGTTGTTTCAAAAGTGAAGAGCTAACCCCTAATTGCTTGGTTAAGAGCCAACAAAGTGCCCTAGCCAAATAGTGCAACAAAGGGAAACAACTCATGGGATGCGAGTCGCTGCATGTCAACCAAGCAACAAGAAATACTGTCACTTGGTGTACCCCGAATCATTGCAGCACTGCATAGCACTGCTATCACTTGGCTAATCTAGAGTGCAGTGTTTCAGTGCTTTGTAAACGTAGAATGCAGAGCTTAACATTATCGACGCTTTGATTCTTGTGTACCCACCGTTGCTGGTGCAGATTGGACTCCTCACATGCCGTCACGTAAGGTTCAAGACAGTTTTCGCAGTACGCTACGGAATGCTGTCCAGGAAGAAAATGACCTTAAGCCCGGCTTTTTGCCTCTGATGCCATGGAAAATTTGACTTGTCCCAGCTGCGTGCTTGAAGAATCTTGAGCCAGAGGAGGCCCCATAGTTTGGAACACAGAGAGTACCCTTGTGTGACGCTTAAGATGGTGTTCCTTGGTCAAGCTGCAACTCACATGTTTGACCCTTCAGGAGAGGTTGGGTTGCTTTGATTCGCAACATGACATTGGCTGAGGGCGACACATAAGGTCTACCCTTGTTCTCAATTGAAAAGGAATGAAAAGGGTGTATACAACACCTAGTGGGTGGCCAGGACCAAACACCTAGACTTGTCCAAGCGTTTATCGTGGCTTTGATGGTGCACCACCCTCAGGGTCTCAGCTTCTTTCCATCCAAGTGACCACAACTTTCTTGAGGGCCTCAGCCACGCTTCGGACCGAATCCTCTTAGTGGACAACAGTTATGGTATAGATTGAACCACAATCGGCCCGGCTGTACTCCAATGAACCTTCTCTTTAGCTCACAAAGCACCCTTTGAACCACCAGCCATCCATTAAAGGACACTCAAGGAATGGGTGACTACTGTATGCACGTCTTAGGGTTTGCGGATAAACTGCTGTTCACTTGACATGATACAAGAATCTGCATTGTCTACTTGTCTACTATGCTGTCATTCGCAAGTCTATCCCGCTTTTAGTGCAACGTGGCATGTTGGGCATGTTGTTTGCCACTCGCCAATGAAAAATGAAACGATGGGTGCCCGGACCTCATGGTTAGGGCGGGCTTCATATGTTTTTAGTTTTCCAACACGACCTCCATTTGGTTCTTGGCCGACATCTGCTGGAGCTCGTTCGGGACCCCCAGCTTTGCGTAGCCCGCCCAGCAAACGGCCAATCTGGGGCGCGCTGCCCCGCTGCCCTGGCGGACCTCTCAACGAGCGGCGACTTCAGGGCGAAACCATGTGATGTGGAGAAGATAGAAATGAAAAGACGTAAATAAAAATAGCCAACATGCGACATCATTTGCCCGGAAGTGCAAAAAGAAGAAAGGCTGAATTGTTCCAAGTTGCTGTCAAAGAAAATGAACCTGGCAAACGCTCTAAAGGTACTTAACAATGTGCCAGGGAGTGACTGTATAATCCTTGCTCACAGTGACACAGCTGAGCAATGAAAGCGGCGCACCTTTCAAGGATTGAAGAGAGCAATCTGCTCTTGCTTCCTGATTTCAGCCTTTCTTCCACTTCCCAATTCCTGCGACAAAGATCCAAACAAGAACTGTCTGAGAGATTCTCAAGAAGTGGGAGATGAGCATGAAGCCCAGTGGCGCAATGGCGGCAAAGATGGTAAGGTGCCGGTTCTCAATTGGATAAAGCTATCCACACCATCGGTCCAGATAGCCCATATGGAGCTAGTAGCCCAATCCCGCATCGAGATGGCCAGATTCTTCCTCTCTTCCACTCCTAGGAGTCACGTCTTCACTGCGTTTGGAAGGTCGGCGGACGGTGGTGTATATAATATACAAGTAGTTCCCGGGCAAGCCGGCGGCGGAAGTTTCCTATAAGAACAAATTGACCTATAGGAGTGTCCACGTTCTCTCCAACATGCGCGTCCTCCAGTCAAACGCACGCGCTCCGGACTTTTGACTCACGGGATTCCACGTGTGTAAGGTGTGTGCCCCCTGCAGGATCAGTGTGTATGATGAGTGGTGTATTGACCAGCAGTTGAATGTCCTGTCCTGCATACGTGCAACCAAATACTATCAGTATGAACTGTGCCAAACCTGCCGCGAGAGATGACTCAGCAGCGAGAGATGACTGAGTCGCGAGAGATGACTCAGCCGCGAGAGATGGCTATAGCGAGAGCTGACTCAGCAGCGAGAAATGAATGAGCAGCGAGAGATGACTCAGTCGCGAGAGATGACTCAGCAGCGAGAGATGACTCCTCCGCGTACTACACTTGTACTACAAAGTGGCCAGTTCTCAGCTTCCAGCTCCACAGGTTGTTCCGCGTGCTAAAGTTGTACTAGAAAGTCGCCAGTCAGTTCTCATCTTCCAGCTCTACAGATTGCTCCGCGTACTGCAGTTGTACTACACAGTCGCCCGTTCTCAGCTTCTAGCTGCACAGATTGCTCCGCGGACTAAAGTTGTACTACAAAGTCGCCAGTTCTCAGCTTCCAGCTCTACAGATTGCTCCGCGTACTAAAGTTGCACTAGAAAGTCGCCAGTTCTCAGCTTCCAGCTCTACAGATTGCTCCGCGTACTAGAGTTGTACTACAAAGTCGCCAGTTCTCAGCTTCCAGCTCTACAGATTGCTCCGCGTACTAAAGTTGTACTAGAAAGTCGCCAGTTCTCAGCTTCCAGCTCTACAGATTGCTCCGCGTACTAGAGTTGTACTAGAAAGTCGCCAGTTCTCAGCTTCCAGCGCTACAGATTGCTCCGCGTACTAAAGTTGTACTACACAGTCGCCAGTTCTCAGCTTCCAGCTCCACAGATACTCCGCGTACTAAAGTTGTACAACAAAGTCGCCAGTTCTCAGCTTCTAGCTGCACAGGTTGCTCCGCGTACTAAAGTTGTACTAGAAAGTCGCCAGTTCTCATCGTCCAGCTCGCCAGATACTCCGCGTACTAAAGTTGTACTACAAAGTCGCCAGTTCTCAGCTTCCAGCTCTACAGATTGCTCCGCGTACTAAAGTTGTACTAGAAAGTCGCCAGTTCTCATGGTCCAGCTTGCCAGATACTCCGCGTACGAAAGTTGCACTACAATCTCGCCAGTTCTCAGCTTCCAGCTCACAAATTGCTCCGCGTACTAAAGTTGTACTACAAAGTCGCCAGTTCTCAGCTTCCAGCTCCCCAGATGCTGTGCCTGCCACGAAATCTGCCCATGGAGGTTTAGAAAGTACTGCACCTGCCACGAAATCTGCACATGGAGGTTCACCAAGCGCTGCACCTGCCACGAAATCTGCACATGGAGGTTCACAAAGTGTTGTGCCTGCCACGAAATCTGCACATGGAGGTTCACAAAGTGCTGCACCTGCGACGAAATCTGCACATGGAGGTGCACAAAGTGCTGTGCTTGCCACGACATCTGCACATGGAGGTTCACAAAGTCCTGCACCTGCCACGAAATCTGCACATGGAGGTGCACAAAGTGCTGTGCCTGCCAGGAAATCTGCACATGGAGGTTCACAAAGTACTGCACCTGCCACGAAATCTGCACATGGAGGTTCACAAAGTGCTGCACCTGCCACGAAATCTTCACTTCAAGAAACAAGTGAAAACTCTAATCCCAATGGACGGACGATTCCGAGCATGATCCGAGAATGATCCGAGACCGTCTCGCACCCGTCGTTCCGCAGACCTTGACTTGCCAGCTTCGGAGCCACCGGTTCCATTGAAAAATACAGCATTTCGTGCGTTCGCTATCTCTCCACTACGCATTTTGTATTGCGCCTGCCTCGACATCTGCACATGGAGGTGCACAAAGTGCTGTGCCTGCCACGAAATCTGCACATGGAGGTTCACAAAGTGCTGCACCTGCCACGAAATCTGCACATGGAGGGTCACAAAGTGCTGCACCTGCCACGCAATCTGCACCTGGAGCTGGAGTTGCCTGGAGCTTGAGCTGTTGAAACCAAAGCTGGTGTATGAGCGGTGTATGCTGAGTGGTGTATGATGAGTGGTGTATGATGAGTAGTGTATGATAAGTGGTGTGTGATCCGTGGTGTGTGATGCGTGGTGTAAGATGAGTGGTGTGTGATGAGTGGTGTATGATGAGTAGTGTATGATGAGTGGTGTGTGATGAGTAGTGTATGATGAGTGGTGTGTGATGAGTGGTGTATGATGACTGGTGTGTGATGAGTGGTGGATGATGAGTGGTGTATGATGAGTGGTGGTTGAACAGCTGTTGAATGTCCGTAACACGGAAGTTTTGCACACTAAACTTCCTTTGATTATAAATGATGATGGTTTTTACTGCCAGTGCAAGTTTTCAATCGGGATGTTCCACATGTGAAAAACGAGACATCATCAAGCTGCAAAACAAAAGAGCAAGGACATCTTTGAACAAGTCTTCTTGCCGAGTCCTCCAATCTACTTGCACTAGCCACCAGCACTCCATACCCAATCCGAATCTACGTCAAGGAGCCCAGGTCAAAGGAGTTTTTCAACTCCCTTTCCGCGGAGATTAGAACTTTGATCGCGCCAATCTGCAATGGTTGGCCAAGCCGGATCGAACGACGGATGTCGTAAATCGTGCCTAGTTTGAGCCACCATATCATACCATATCCAAGTAACCCTTGAGGCCTTCAACAAAAAACGAGCAAAGAATCGACGCTTGCCTCTTCGCAAAGGATCGACGCGATCTCCTCAAGAATCGGATAAGGACCTGAGAGCGGCGGCAAACTTGTGATGGAGAAAGATGCATTTGGCGGGCTAGGATCGAACAAACAAGGACGCTACCAGCTCCTGGCATCGCTACGATCGGGGCTCCTGGCCTTACTACTAGGAGCAAGTAGCTAATAGAAACAAGAAGCTGTTGGGACAAAGAAGGAGTCTCAAGAATCAGTCCCGTCGAGAAAAGATTTGGCCCCGCACCAGTCATGCGCAGGCCCATAGACCTGCACAATGCTCTGACCTGCAACAGAAGACATGGCGAACAAGAGCAACCAAGCTTCTAACATGATTCGTAAACTCCCAATGCCAATTCAGGCCCAGGACCGCTGCAAACCACTTTTCTCCAAACCTATTGACAAGAGTTCTTGATGCAAGGTTTCATCAAGCTTTGCCTGGAGGTCTGCACATGCACAACTCTGAAGTGGATTTCTGTATGTCTAGCAAGATGTGACATGTCGGCAAGATGTTTTAGTCTAGAACATTGGCAGCTCGCTTGCGCCTCCTCATAGCCTCAGGAACTGCTGGATCAAATCCATGAACCTATGGTTGCTATTACCTGCATCTACTTTACTTGAAATGGATTTGGGATACTTGAGTTCGCTTGGTGTACGCTGGCGTGGTCTACCAATACCTGATCAAAGATGAACCGTGGACAATGTAGGTAGATTGGGCTCCCCGTGTTGCACCCACGTCACAGGATCTTGGAAGCTGAATTTATTGCTTGCTACCGGCAATCCCGTAGACAACCGATAAGTGGAACAATGGGTCTTGGCTTTTTCCAAAGAACCAGGATGTGCTTCGTCGTTGGCAGAAAACGTTCAAAGAATGAATCCCCACATCAAACCAACCCCTCCATTTCTGCCTAGTTGGCAAGTGTGCGATGAACTCCCCAAAAATCTACACGTTGCTTTCAAATGTCATGCCTAAGTCACCCAAGTCCTGCGGTGTAGCGAATTTCTGGTGTTTAGGCCAACTCCCCTGAGGCAACCAGCTCAAGTTGATGTTCTCCATGGGTGTCTCCGGCGCCGGGAGACCTGTCAAGAAAGCTTCTCTCATCTCTGACCATTGGTCCAATACTCTGGAATAGCGAGCAAGTATTTGTGACTTATGAGGATGGAGGTTCTATGTCATACAGTAGATTCTATGAAGAACCTGACCAGGTCAACGAATCAATGAACAGTTTTTGAGCACCGGTCCGTCAGGCAGAGGCCTGTGTTTGGGCGACCTATGACCCAACGCCTTAACCCTACACAAGTTGAACGACACCAATTCAATATCTAGTATCAGCTGAAAGCTCTCCATCCTTCCTCTCAGCCTTCTATGAAAGACCTGAAAGCATCTGTAAGGTGTGTCGCACTGCAAAGAACCGACAGCAAAGGTGGGCGATGTCCACTCTGCGGCATGCCATTATGGCGCTGGTAGTATCAGTATCAATACATCTGATATATTGATACACTTTACCTACTGTATATATCTCTGGCAAATCACTCGTAGTATGCCTGATGCTTAACTTACCTTGTATATCTCCTGTAAATCTGAAGGTCAAGGTCATAGCGTATGTCTACGGGCCCAAGTGTCAGGCCCTGAATTAAAGGAATCGCGTACCATGCAATTTCCACAAATGGAGTTGAATACAGTATCTCAATATGGAGACCTGAATCTGTAAAGGACTGGTAACAGAGCGGCAAAACCTTCACCACACATCTCACGCCTGCCTGGCATCGCAACGATGCAAACAGGCACAACTGGAACCAAGAGCATCCCTGCCATCCGGGGACAAATCGTCAAGTTCCCTGTTTGAGATAAATGCAGGGCATAAACATCTGTGATTTGATTGAAAGACCATGACGGGCGGAATCAACTGGCATCAGATGGAAGCACAGTTGAGGGTATTAGTCTTGCGGGGTGCAAGGCCCCCCGAAGAAAAGAAAGCGACTGACTGACACATTCAAGGTACAGCTTTCCAATGCAAACTGCTGGCTTGCAAGGACCGTGCATTCACATGTGCAAAACGTTCATTGAAGATTCATTCCAACAAACATCAATGAAATTGATCGACAAGTAACCAAAGCACGAGAACAGAAACAATCTGATAAGCAATAAGGCCAGCGCACCTTCGGCTAGGAACATCGTGCCTGTCGTTGCACTTTGATTCTGCAGGTTGGTAAAGCTGGGACTTTTCCGCGGTGCCAACAAGCTGAGATCGCCAATGACAGGAACGTGGGCGGCCATGATAAGCCTTAGAAATCCTTATTGAGTAAGTCGGATGCTAGAAGTTGGAGGCGTGCCCGCATTACCAACTGCCATAACCAGCAAACCTTGCATTCTCTTTAGAAACTCTTGCGGCGTCAATCTGATTGAAGTGGGGGAAACCTTGAAATCTGGAATACTGGCAACAACGAATTGGCCAATAGTCGCACCTCTGTCTGTCTGCTGCTCCGTTCTTCGTGTAACTCTTTGGCCAAGGTGCCTGCACACACAGAGCACAACATGGTGAGCAAACTCAAAACGCTCTGCTTGATCGCCAAAAACAACTGCACAGGGGCATTGAGAAAAACTCTGCGTAAAAGTTGCACGCTTGAAGCCGTCTTATTCTTAAGGCTGGGTTGGTCTGATAGCTCAGCTATCCCTTAAGGGTACAGGGAAACTGCCCACACCACCCGCAGCCAACACACTCAAGCTTCAGCCAACCACATAACCAGATTGAAACTCCCAATTTCAGAAGACCAGACCGTGCATTCGGTTCCATCTCGTGACTCGTCATTGCCTGTCTGAGGTCTGAGGGCCCACAAATCAAAGATTACGTGGGTTAAGTAAGCAGCTAGCCGTTGACGACTAAGAGTCCGTGAGATGGGCTGACTGATCTTCGTTGCCCCGCCCGGCCTCAGCTGTGTCGGCCAAAAAAGCTCGAGCCAAGGCTTTGACAAAAGCATCATGCAATCACGTACAAAAGACTTGGGTCGCATGACATGATGGACATGTATTTTGTGTTGCATCTTTGCTCCCACACAACATTCAAGGTCCGGAAGAATATCATGCCGACCTAGCAATAAAACTTGTATTACGTAGTATTACACAGTAACAGAGTATTATTTCTATTTACAATAATACAGTATGCCAAAAAAGGATTGTCGAGGATGGGACATCACCCCCAAAGCAACAAGATCAAGTCAATGATTCAAAGCGGCAAGTGACACAAGCATGGTACACTGGTCTAGCTGTCTAGCTTATGTTACACCAGTGCCAAACATCAAGCTGCAGAAACACGTGAACGCGTGCGCACCTGTCTCCAAAGCAATTTGTTGTCAAAAATGTCCTGTGGCAACTCTGAACCCAAGACAGTGTTTAAACCTTAAAGGAAAGAGAAAAACATGTCTCCTGTATGGACAATTCGTCCGATTCCGTTGATCCATTCTCACAGAAATCTTGCTCAGTGGGAAGATACCCCGTCAGGGCTTTTAAAGCCCCCGCAAACATCGGCATGTTGTCAGAGAAACGAGAAAGAGATTCCCTCAACTCGCAGAGAATCCAACAAATTCCCTACTGTGTGTCCAAATGGGTTTGTTTTTTTTGACGTTCCCGGGCCGGGATGTTTGGCTATGGGGTATGCTTCCGGGGTATGCTTCGCACAGTGTGAAGAGTAAACTAGTAGCGTTTTCAGGGGTATGCTCGGGGTATGCTTCGCCTAAGTCGAACATCCCAGCCCGACATAAACTGGACACATCAAAAAAATAACAAACAAACCCAAATGTATCCCATGAGGCTGAACAACACCGTGATATGGCATGTTCTACTAGATGTCCACTGGGGAAACAGGTTTGTCAACTCAATATTGCCAAGCGAATCCCAAGAACCTTTGCACGCCCAGCGGTCTTCGGGCGGAGGAGTAGAAGCATAAATGTTCTTCCTTGTCTGTGGCACACAAACCTCTTCATCTGTGTGACATTCCTTTCTTCACTCCTGAACACCGGAGACATCATCGTCAAAACACACTTCTGTCTCGGTCGGTTGACCATGGATTTCTGCAGTTCCCAGGTCCGACATGAAAATCCTGGCACTTTCCAATATTCATCACCTGTGAATGCCGACATCTTCCATTCCAACTGCTTGGATCACAATATCCCCCAGGCAATCAAACACAGTTACAAATGGTTGTTTCCAAATTCTAAAACCTCAACCTCCAACTAATGAGGGTTCACCATGGTTCGTACATCCTGATCAACCTGTCAAACTGTTTCCTTTCAACCTCATATCCCAGTGCCTTACAGGCACTGCCCTGGAGCAGCGTTGTGACTGCGCGGCCTGCATTGCATTCAGCTTCTCGGTCGACTGGTGAACATCCCAAAACCCAAAAAAAACAGAATTGATTTTGGGATTACAATGATTGCATTCATGTCCACCTTGTAAACGTGTCAGGAACTGAGGAAAGGACCGTCTACGGTTTGGGTTCATGAATACTGGCTCACAGTAATTGACTGGATTCATATCTTTCTGGCCGTATCCAACCATACATGATGACCCCGTACTTGCACCCGCAAAATAGTGGAGATTAGATTTTCGGGGAGGATGCATGTTCTTGCCAGACAAAACCGACATTTCACATTGGTATCTGCATCTCACATCCTTGGACAACAACGTCCGTTTAGCCCCAAGTATTTTGGTGACATGCAACACCATCGGGGGCTTTCACGTGCGACCTCCTGACGTTGAACAAACGGTACAATTTGACACCTGTCCAGCCTGTCCACACTGTTCGTCACGCCACCTGTCTTCGAAACCCTAGAGTTCACGACCTGTTCACCACATTTTCTACAACTACTATTGTTCCACCACAACGCTCATCCGCCCGCTGCGTGGTTTGTTCGTCCAACGCCTCCTTCATCTCTCCCTTTCCTGCGCAAATGGGCGTGGGCTTTGCACCAACTACCCCAGAAGTCCGGAAACCCTAGCTGGCTCCAATTCAGATCAACTTAGCGTGACAAGTGGGTGTGGGAGAACCCAACCAGTGGTTAACAAAGTCTAGAACCCTGTGCTATCCAAAGACGGGGCGTTGCTGGGTACATGGTGAGTTTCTTGACCCAGACTTGGCCTCTTCTGATTGTTTGAAGATGGAGACCCACTTTTTTGTCTTTCTGAGCCCTCAGCTTGGTCTGGACAAAAAAGTGCACACGAAGACGAAGACCCCATTGCTCAGTTTGGGCGAGCCGTGCGCATTGGCATCGTTCCTCTGGGAGCAACAATCAACTTGGATGTACAGCTTCAGATCCGTGACTGTCAACTGGCAAACAAACCACCACATGTTGGACCCTGCACTCAACACATCTATATTGATAGGGCTCCTGGCTCTACTGCGCCCGTAAGGGCCCTCCTTCGCCAGCTTCCTACCCACTGGAAATCATCCATCCCATGCGCCAATTCCAAACAACTTATGCTCACAGGAAACACTGACCCGGCGTTGCAAGGGGGCGCGAACTGATGAGCACCCCCTCACTGATGCTTCAAGCAACCTAAACCAGGTAAGCGCCAACGCGTCGCCTCGGTCGCGCGAAGAGCAAAAGCCCATCTGGTGAAGACCTGCCACGTCGATGCATAACTGCGCTTCGAAAAAATGATGCGGAAGTACCTTGCGGGACTGCGCCAAGCTCCACTCCTTTTTGTTTACGACCGACGATCTGGCCCTCCATCGCTTCACCCGGCCACCGGCGTTGCCAGCGTTGCCGCGTCAGAGCCGAAATGTAAACATAGATAGGACTGTCCTTGCTCACCCCTTCTTCGGTCAGTTCTGAGTTGAAAATGTTCTGATGTCTGTTCTGACTTTGGAGTTGAAAATGGCCTGATGCTGGCCTTAGATGGGCGCAAGCTGATGGCTGCAAGACATCATGTCTCACGCCGACCTCTGACTAAAAATGCAAAGAGGTGGCAGCCAGCGTCTTGCATTCATGGGAAAGGCCCGTTCTCACTTGCAATTCACTCAACAATCAAGGTCCACTGGAGAAGGCCCCGCGCACCCTGTTTCTCCGTCCGTGGCATCTTCGGTATTGTGAGGATGGGCGTATGGTAGGTCGACGCTGCCCAGAAGTAACTCTTGAAGTGTGCTATTGGGTGGTATTGCGCAGTTGGGCGCCTGTACCAGATCACTCACTCGGGAGGCCCCTCAAATAAGACGTGAACGTGAAACGTTGAAGGTCAAGCGGTTGGGCGCGCGCCACACACGCTCATACGCCACGCGACGACCGTGACTAAATGCAGCCATGGCGGCTGGGGCTGTAGGCTTGCCTCAGAAGAAGCAGGGCCCGATTCAAAGAAAACCCCGCCCGCACAGGAGCAGTCACGCAAATACTCGCAAAAGGCCAATACAAATCCTGAAAGTGGGGGGCCCTGCTTTTGGGAATGATAGCGCGGCTGAGCCACTGCCTTCACCTTTCACAGAAGGAGAGACACACGATTGGCCTAGTCACTAATATAAAAACAAATCAAAAGGCTTCTCCAGGCTCAGCGCGCGTCAGCCTGTTTTCCAAAACAAAATAGGAGATCATATAATAACAATAAACATCACCACACAAGCTATATGAAGCAAAGAGAAACAATATATTTGGGCAGGTCTTATTGACGAGCCCACCAGCACTTCAACTATACCGAGACCGGCGACCAAACATACGCCAAGTAGCTCACAGGGTGGTGAGCCACGCCAAAACCTCCTCGGCGGAAATGTTAGAAGGAGCAAAGCATCTGGCTTCAGCCTGACCGATTGCCTTCTTTCTACATGTTACAGGCCTCTTCAGCATAATCGTTCTCACTGGCGATCACTCCTAGCAAACACTGTAGGGAGACACACGCACACACACACACAGGCTACAGCCTCCGCAAACGCGCCTCCTCGAAAACCCCTCGTTCTCAAAGCAACACAAGGCGAAGCGGCTTTGCCAGCACATGAAATGCTATCTATTTTATAGGACACCGCTAGCAGCTGAAATTCGACCTTCAAGTCCACTGTTTTTGCTTGGTCTTGCGCACAAGCACAGCGACTCTAAACATTTTACTCGCCGCAAGAAACTCAATTTGTTTCAGCCTAAACTTGTCTGTCTGTCGCAACCCTTGGGCGCCATTTCCCTCAACTCTCACACAGAAAAGGCACCTGGCCCGGCATCCGAATTAGCTTCCAAGGCTCCACGTAGTATGAACAGGCGGGCCAACGGAAAAAACAGCTGTCGGCGACAAAGCCAGTGGACGAATCCTGACAAGAAGGGTCTCACTCTTAGATGTTTGGGAGTGACAAAGGCAGGAGCAAAACCTTAAAATGGTTACTTAGTGTTACTTACGTATTGATATGTATTGATGGTGTAACTGGTAGCTCTGCTGGAAACAGCTGGGACGTGCCAGAACTGCCACGCGTCTGACCAGATCCGACAACAAGAATATCCAACCAACACTGAGCCGCGAGGACAGTCCTTCAAAGAAGAAATGAGGCCCACACTAACCAGCATACGTGAATGTTTCCATCAACCTCAGTGAGAAATTAGAAGAGCGGCGCACCCCGACTTCGGCGCGATGATTGCCTTCTCTCTACTTGCCAACATACCACAATGATCTCTCACTACAATAGCAGTAGCAAACTAGCCAGTTTATTCCTCTGTGAACATGTTCTCGGTCCCAACGCAACAATAACAGCTGAAGCGACAATACCACAAGAAGAATTGGACGGCAAACCTTTTATGATGTTGAACTTGACAACAACATCCTGAACAACTCTGAAGCAACTAAGAGCGGTCAAACCGACAACCACCCTCGGACACGCCACCCTGTTCTTGGAAGAGAGCCGAGATGTGGTGGCATCCTTGGAAGCTCAATCAAGTTTGGTATGGGCGAAGCCAGATCACATCGCAACACCAAAATCAGAAGCCGCCAGGATCACAAACCAGGCTTAGGGGGACTGTGATGAAGAAAAGAGAAACAGACGGGTTCCCGCAACCACAACCAATGTTTGAAATCGTAAAGT